CCCCCCACGACCCACCGCGGCGCTCCGGACGGGCGAGAAGGACGTTGCGCCATTGAAAATCCCAGACAGCGATGGACGAGAATTATGCCTTGGATACGCAAATGGGCCCACCTGCGTCGTACTCAGTACGAGGCTGCAGAGGCTTGCATCAGCATTTTAGGAGTGACAGAGAGGGCATTAGAAAATACCACTCTGGAACATTCGAGATGCCGACAGTGATTGGCCTTAAATGCGCAATTGGTTTTGACCATTCACAGCGCGTAAACTAACGGGAAGAACAAGGGATTAGACACTTGGCAACGAAAAGCAGGGAGAGGAGACGCGACACGACTGCGGAGTCGACCGGATCGCGGAGAAAAAGATCGCGTTCGTGCGCAGTGTGATTGTGCTATTTGGGACATTTGATTTTTTTACCGACTGGGAAACGAACACGATAAAGTCGGGTCGCCAAGTGCGTGAGCCGTGATTAGGCATCCACTTGTTATAATTTTGATAGCGAGGTGTGTTGCCTTACGCCACCACGAAGCTGTTATCGTACGTCACGAAACGAATTTTAGTGAAGTATTCAAAACCTGCCGTCTCAAAGACTGATAGACGAAGAGTTCAATAATGACTTTGGTGTGACGTGTGGTGTGGATCTGGAATCGACCGCGCACCGCTCTCTGCGGTGAAGGGCCGACGTCGCTGGGATTTGTCGAAAGGGCTCCCCCGGCCTCGTGACTGGGAAACCGCAGAGACGGACCAGCCTCCCCCAGTGGAAAACACCTGACGGGTCAATGAACCCCGCCGCCGCAGCAGCACTACCACGCCGGCGCCCAAGAATACGGCGAAGCCTTTCGGTATTAAAGCGTGCAAAGGTTTAACAAACAGCTCTTCAAGCGAATTAGTAAACAAAAGGCTATTGATCACTCATGAATGAACAGCAAAAAAATACAGAAAACAAATACAATATATGTATGACTTTGCGTGGACGCGCTCTGGCTGTAGACTTAAATTTAATATCGTGGTTATAAATCGTTAACCATCGTTAAATATCGTGGTTATTTAATTTTAACTCAGGTAATGAGCTCATACAAATTCAGTCTTGTAACTTCCAGTGAGTAAATTAAAACTATGTTTAAAATTCTAACTAAAGTGAGTGTTTTTGTTAAATTTTAAAGAACGCTCCACTTTATTCCTCTGGAACAAGGTATTTCTGAGAAGCTGAGCTCAATATACCGAGTATATGTTCACTGAGGTGAAGAAAGTCATGGGATACCTCTTGTGTCGGACGTCCTTTTGTCCGAAAATTACATGGCATGTACTCAACAAGGTTCGGTGGCACGCCTTTCAGCAAGTCGCTCGCCTTTCAGCAATGAGGTCCGCGTTCGATTCGCGGACAATCTCGTGTAAAATTCGCGACAAAACGAGTTAGGCCGCTTCACAAGGGCTATTCCACAACTGCGATGTGTCCTTACCCCTACCACTTTCCGGATTCCTTCCCGATTCTGGCCGCTGGGTAGTGACGCAGGAGCGCGTAAGACAGAGGCGCGTACGCAGAGATGCAACCTGGCAGTCATCTTAACGACTGACTTCGACGAGACAGGTCATCATACCAACAAATTAACGGAGGATTACTCCAAATAATAAAAATATTAACGAAAGATAACTCCTAGCAAGCGCTCAACGCCCTCTTTAGAGATTTAGAGACGCGTTGCGTCAGTATCAGACGCAACAAATAAAAAAAAAAGTCGTTGGAAGCCCCATGCAGAAATAGAGCCATGTTGCCTCTATAGCCGTTCATAATTGCGAAAGTGTTGCCGGTGCAGGATATTATTCATGAACCGTTCTCTTATGTCCCGTAAATGTTCGATGGAATTCATGTCGGGCAATGTGGGTGGCCGAATTGTCCCATGTTCTTCAAAATAATCGCGAACAATTGTGGCCCGGTGACATGGCGCATTGTTATCCATAAAAATTCTATCGATGTTTGGGAACACTGAGTCCATGAATGGCTACAAAAGGCCTCCAATTAGCTGAACATAACCATTTCCAGTTAATGATCGGTTCAGTTGGGGCAGAGGACCCACTCTATTCCATTCAAACAGCCCACACCATTATGGAGCCATCGCCAGTTTGCACAGTGCCTTGTTAACTACTTGGGTCCATGGTTTCGTGACCAACTGAAATCGGGACTCATCTGACCAAGCCACGGTTCTCCACTCATTCTAATCAATAAGTCTAATCAATAAGTCACGAACTCAGGAGAGGCACTGCAGGCGATGTCATGCTACGCAAATTTAAGTCATTTGCTAACGCAAAAGCATCGTCGGTCATCTGCTGTCATAGCCCAATTACATCAAATTTCACCAAACGTTCCGCCTCACGCCGCACATTTCGCGGTTATTTCACGCAGTGTTGCTTGTCTGTGAGCACTGACAACTATACTCAATAGCCGCTGTTCACTGTCATTAAGTGAAGGCCGTCGGCCACTGCGTTGTCCTTGGTGAGAAGTTGTCTGAAATTAGGTATTCTCAGCACACTCTTGGCACGGCGGATCTCGGAATACTGGGTTCCCTAACGATATTTGGAATGTCCCATGCTACTAACATAAACTACCATTCCGAGTTCAAAAAATGTTAATTCCCTTTGTGCTTACACAACTTCCATAATCACAACAGAAACATTTGCAAACAAATTACTTGGGTACAAATGAAAGCTCTGTCAATGCACTGCCCTTTTATACCTTTTGAACGCGATACTGCCATCTGAATATTTGAATATTGCTATCCAACAATTTAAATTAGCCAAACAGTACAAACTGTATGTGACATATGTGGGAGAAGTAAGAAGTAGGTATATACTGCATTCTATGTTACTGGAGTATTCGAGAATACTCTTTTTGTTAAACTATTTTATGTATTACAGTGTTATACGAGAGAATTCTACTACTTATTCGGCAGTGTACGTCCTTTTTACCACCAGCATTAACAGTTTTACTGATGTAGGCGAATAAGAGCAGCACTATTTTGATGATCACAAAATTGTAATATTGAGATTCTGATAATAGCAAAGGCATTGACTGACAAATATAAGAAGGCCCGCTAAGGAAGTCTATCCAGCCGCCGGCCTGCTGGCGAGGTAATCGTTCTACCCTAAGTCAATATGGGCCATGGCCCTACGCGCTGAAGATCACAGCGGTGCGGGATGGTTTTTATGAGTTATTAAGTCATGTTTTGCAAAAATTTCACTATACGACAAACCTATTTATCTGATTTCGACGGTTGACATGGCGCTGGGTTCTCGATTGAAGTTGGCATCGCACTATTAGCCCACATTTTGGAAAATCTTGCTGTAAGTACGAAAAGCAATTTGAAAAATTAGCTTCAGCTATTTTCTCTGGGAAAGGGGTATCACAGCATAAATTCTATATTGCCAACGAATCAAATGCTGTTTACAAATTAAAAATCGATTTATTTGTTCAGACATTATTAGTAATGTAATTTTTGTTTATTTCGGTGCTCCCACGTGATGGTGACAAATTGAACTAGAATCAGTAATTTGGCCTTAACATTAAAAATGATAGGAATAAAAATAATAATTTCTCCTTCTCTTTCATACAAGCACAAACCACGTACAAAAACACACACTCGGACACAAAACACAGTTTTGGTTATCACTCTCCCAAAGAATACACAATAACTCAAGATCTATTTACCTGAGAATTTTCAGTTATTCGGCCCCCATCCCACATTTTAAATGGTTGAGTAACATCCAAATAAATGGGTGTTTTAACATTGGTTAACCCAGACTCCTGAAACCAGAAATAAAGAAAAAGAATTATTAAAATGTAGTAATTCAACAATAATTACATTTTATGGATGATAAAATTACATTTAATTTTATACAGACTGGCCAACAAATCCATCAAATGCAATTTTCACATATCCCTTACTTATTCCCAAAACTTCAATAAACTGTCTCTGACAACTTATGTATTAATTTTATACATGTAATATTTTACAATAAATGATGTTTTATAAAGAAATTTTGTATCTGGATTCAGTGATTCTCTATTTTAGGGTAGAGAGAACTTGGGTACTATTCACTCAATACACTCACTTTTAAAAGGTCAAGGGAAGACCCGATGATTACAAATGGAAGACTGGGCCATCATCTCGGCTCATATACTACTTTTCTAATTGATTGAAGGAGATTACTAATTTGATTAAGAATATTACATGTTCACTGAAAAAACAATAAAATTGCAGTGTTCCTGGTTCTCCCACTCAATTCCAAATCCCTTGATTTTTTTTACAGTTAACTCAGTGTAGGCCACTTCTGAAGGAATTCATCAAAAGAATTTAATAGGCGACAAAAAAGTAATGGGGAACCTTCACTTTCCATACACACCTGAATATATGCTGAAATACTATTGAGAGAGGATTCATCCACATCGCTGGGTTGAAATGTAACCCACGGAAAGTGAGGAGCAAAATGAACAACATGCTGCCCTGTTCCAGATGATATTTCCAACAAGCGTATGCTTTGAGGCTCTTCAGGTGATGCAGGTGCAAAAATGTATTGCTTCAAGATTTCTAAAATGGGATCTTTATTTCGTTCAGCTGCTGAATTAATCTGCTTGCTTTTTTTAAGACTGAAAATATCATTTTGCTTAAACAATTATAAAACAAAACTTTACAAATATGTCAATTCAATAGCAAATAGTTAAATGTAAAAAAAAAAATATAAAGACTTGGCATTTGTCCTATAAATTTTCTAAAATGTACTAGGGCACACTGTCAATGATTCATTTGATAATCAAAGTAATTTATTATTATTATTATTATTATTATTTGTAATGTATGTATTACCTTGTTGTGGACCGTGATGACATAATGCCTCCAAAAAGTCTTCTGAACACGAAAATACCTAAAATACAAATGTAGAAAGTAGTAAATAATCATTAAGGCGTGTAGAAGGATGAGAATGCCATCAGAGATAACCAAAATAAAACACAACATAAAAATACATTACAAAATAAGTGTTCTTCAACAGCATGTTTCCTAGTTCACAAATACTTTATGTACTGGAGACCCTATATTTTTTGTATTCTGCAATACTATTAAGCGAAAAAAAGGGTAAAAGCAAAAGAATTCAGTTTTGACTGTAAATTATTTGCAATTTGCTTTAAAATAATGCCTGTTAACACACTATAACAATGCTTTAAAATAAGAAAAAATTAATTTGGAGACCAGGAACCTGGATCATGCACCCTCGAACTTAGTTACAAACAACAGTGATCATGAACAATTTATAATATTTAATAACCAGCATATTCAGAATCTCATTATCAGTTTGTATGTACAAGGCATCAAGCTCTAAACTCTGGCATTAATTTTCCCCCTAACATATCAACATGAGCTTCTCTTGAATATTTAATACATAACTAATATTCTCTCACACTAAAAAATCTTAAGAAGCTTCCTTCTTAACTTCTCAAGAAACTACTAAGTTTCAAAAGAAAGTTTTCAACTAATACACAAATTACAAAAAGACTGTACTCCATCTAGATACGCCTTCACCATAGAAACCGAACGATGAGAATCTGTAATAGTAATGTGAAAGTCTGACACAATACATTTACACACACTAACTCAGCATTTTATCATATTCTTGTTTTGAAACAAAAATTATAATTTAACTAGTAATTTCCCTCTGAGGAAGATTACC